ATCATTTACCAATTTATAAAGAAATAAATATGAAAACAATTTTTTATTCATTAATTTATAAACATTTACTAAATTATTAAAATAAATGAACCAATTATAAGGAAATCCTTATTATTTACCATTTTATAAAGTTTTAATCAATTGGCAATTAGCCAATGTTTTGCTAACCATTCCAATAAACTAATAGTGTTTATTATTTTTGTTGTCAATTCTCAAGAATAGACAAAATGTATCTGTCTATATTTCTGAGATGAGGTATTATGTACACTATTTACATTATTCGGACTATTGTCCTCATCTTTGTCACCATATTTATTACAATGTTTCAGCCCTTCAGTATCAGTCTATATTTCTGAGATGAGGTATCATGTACATTATTCGGACTATTGTCCTCATCTTTGTTGCCATATTTATTACAACGTTTCGGCCATTGTACGCTCAGGCCTTCTTCAGTTGGAATGTCGAACAGAACCCTTTATTTTGCTCACTGAGGTATACAGTTCTAGTTCCACGTGCCATGTTTAATGGATATCAGTTATCTCCTGTTAATTGCCCTCTGAAAGTTCTCCACTGCCTTAGCCAGACTCACACTCTTTGGGTCCTGTCACTGGATCTAACGCCTTTATCCAATGTGCTTGAGCACATCTGTGTATGAATTTCTGGGTATTATAAACCTAATGTCTTCAGTAACCATTTTTTACCAGTGCTCATATTGCAATTTTTGTTGTTATCACTTTTCTCTGGCACTCTTTATTACTGGTTCCCATATTATATTTATTTCTATGCTTGGTCTGCTCAGATTTTTGTGGCCTAGCATATGTGCTGATTCCCTTATTTTACGAATTTTCCAATGGTATTCTTTGAAATGTATAAACTCACTTTCATAAATTTTATTACAATTCTAATCATCACTCTGTAAAAGAACATTGCCAAGGAGTGAAGGTAGTTAAAATAATAGCAGTGTCAAGGGAAAAACCTTTTTTTTTGGCATGATCTTCTAAGTCTCTTTATATACAGACATAGCAGTGGATAAATTTTCAATATTCAATTTCTCAAATACTACTTTACAAAAATCAAAAATCTTTATTGATCAGTCATAAAAATTTGTTGACTTTGTACGAACCAATGTTTTTTTTTCACATTCAATAATAGTGTTTATAAACAAAAATTTGGCCCATAAGAAAAGAATTATATTGACTGGCAAAACTGCAAAGGTTAACAATGTGATAGACAACAGAAATATTATTGCATATCTTACCTGAATAAGAGCCATTCCTAGCAAACAATTTACAGCTGTCCTTGCCCTTGGAGGGAGAGGTGCTTTACGGCAGAGGAGCCATAATACGGCAATACTTGCAGCAGTAGTCTGACCCTGATCAAAAAGGAATTGGAAAAAAAAAAAATGATTTTTTTTTTCTTTGTTTAATTGGAAAAAAGAGGCACATCTGCCAGTTAAATTTTCAAAGACGATTTTTCATTGTAAAAAGGGGGGGGGATTTTTGCAATCTTTGACTTACCAGCCAGCGATGATTAAATTGAACGGTTGTTGGATTTTCAAAAATGTTCTTCCATTTCGGTTTGTATGCAGCAATGTCTGAAGGGATCCAACGATCGGCCATTTTAGGCCAGGAATTATAGACAAGTCCAGCATCTAAACCAGCCACAAAAGCACCTGCATGAAAAAATAAGAGATGGGGAAAAAAAAAAAAAAAAAAAAAAAGAGACCCGTTTTATTTTATACATTAAATAAAAACTTGAAATTATGATGAGAAATTCATAAAAAGTGACTTGTTTAAAGAAAATATATTCAAGAATATTGGGGTTGGGCGGAGAGAGAGAGAGAGAATATTGGGGGTTGGGCGGGGAGAGAGAGAGAGAATATTGGGGTCGGGCGGGGGAGAAAGAGAATATTCAGGTTTGGCGGGGGGGGGTTTGGGGAGAAAATATTGGGGTTGCCCTTTCCTTTGTTTCAGGCAAACTCATTCACCGAAATGATAGACCAATTCTAACACCTACATGCCTAGTTTGAAATAGGGTTCCTTTAAAACACTGACGCTATACAATCTTCCCAGCAGTCAGAATGTATTCGTATACATCCAGAACATGAAATGATCAAGCTTTTAGTTACCTCAGCATCAAAATAACCATGGCGTTCACTGTGTCGTGATAGATGATTTTTCTTGCCGGAATCTGTCTTACATATTTATATGTCTACAATTGATCCTTGCTTTGAATATTGTTGCCACATCTGGTCTGGTGCTCCTGATGTATACTTAGAGATTCTTGATAAAATCATAAAACCCTAAGAAGAATCTGCAATGTTATTGCTCCTGTCCTGGCATCTAGGCTTCAGTCACTTTCCCCACTGCCCTAATGTAGCTTCCCTGTGTCTTTTCTATAAATACTTTCATGATAATTGTTCTGATGAACTTTCCTCAGTAATTTCCCACCGCATTTAGGTGACCAGAAATGTTAGTTCTCCAGTGACTGCAGGACACCTTTCATCTTTTCGAGTTTGCTTTTCATATTTGTCATTATGCTTTAATGATTGGCTATTGGAGTGAGTGCTTAGTCAAATGATTGCTTGAATTATTTAAGTCCTGCACTAATTTCATCCAAACTGTTTCTGCCACAATTAATGATTTTTTTTGGGGGGATTAATTCTATTTTGTTTAGTTTCTTGTATATAAAATTTTAAATCATTGTAAATATTCATTAAGATTTCATTTTTAAATAATGTTATTTTTATTACTCCCACCTCCCAGACAATTTGTACATACGAGAACTATTTAGGACTTCAGAGACTCTGAGGTATTATGGTGAATGTAGTAAGAATGTGTTGTTTTGGTAATGAATACTGTGGTAAGTTTGGATCAGTAAATGTGGCTAGTTCAGTTTAATTATAAAACATTTCCCTACTTTTGGCCTCGTGCTACATAAATAACAAGAAAAAATATCACTCTCCTCTTTATGATGAATAGCAAACTTATAAATACATAAGATATATTCATGTAAGAAAAATTCTCTAGCAGGACACAGTGAATTAACTTTTCTAGTTACAGACGTAGCAATTGAGTCAATATACTCTTTCTACTTCATGTCAGCGGAAAATCATTCTCCTGGAGGTTAGCATCAGCCATATGTTGATGAAAGGTAAAAAGGGTTCTCTCAGGTGATTAAAAGAGAGCAGTTTTGTTTTATTAAAAAATTAATAAAATTATAATAAAATAAGCTTGATTACAACTTAATTATTGAAGTTGTCGTCCTTATAACAATTTTTCTGGGATGAAGAGTTTTCCTCATTTATAGTTGGACTAATGCTCTCATCTTTGTTATAATCTCAATATTTTGGCTGAAAATATTCAACCAAAAAATTAAAAAATTATGTAGAAGAATTTTCAAATTCTGAGACAAGTTTTTTGGGGTCATTTTTTTTTTTCACGCCTAATGTGAGCTGCATGGAGATAGAAAAAAATAAAGTTTGGTTTTCAGTATTTTAGATAAAAAAATTGCGGAACATTAGTGAAAAAACATCGGACAGTGTGCATTCTGGCCTTACTAACTGAAAAAATCCTAACGCGGAACAAAATATCAGCAGTGGTGGATGTAGTAAAATATGATTAGCAAGAAGAATTTGGAAAACACATTAGAGAAAATAAGTTAAACTAAAAACACCTGGTGGGGGAACCAGTTTCGTTGTTGATGACCCAACTGTGCGGTAGATAGGTCATTCAACAAGTGCTACAGGTACAACAAAACTCAAAACTACCTGCTACATGGTTGGGTCCTCAACAACTAAACTGGTTCCCCCCACCAGGCTTTTCTGGTGAGGAGGGTGGCTAGACACCAACCAGGATTAAAAACAAAACTCGACAATCTCACCAAACAAGAGTCCTTTTGTTGATACTTGGAAGTTTTGCTTACCAGACAGTGCTGTGAAGAACACCATCCCCATCACACCTTTGGAAAAATTTCGAAGACGTAAAATCTGCAATGTCTTTGGCACCTGAAAAAGAGTGGCATTTTTTTTTTTAAATATAAAGTGAAGTAATTATCAAGGTACATTAACTGCTATACATTGGTCATGTAATTAGGTGATGCCCCTGTTTGTGAACAAAAAGCTTGTAGCATTAAAACATTAATTAAAGCAGATGAGAAAAAAAAAAAAACATTAAGTGTGCAGATTGTCCTTATCTTTATTGTTGCTATCAATGTTTTGACCTCATGCTCTCCAGCCATCCTCAGGTGTATATCGATCTGGGTAACCTACAGGGAATTCTGAACTGAACTGTTTATTTACTCTACAGGGGTAGACAGTTTTGGATTCACTGTGCATGTCGAGAGATATCTCAGTTCTTATCCCAACCCAGAGATTAAACTCACAACCATTAGGTCACTAAATTTACAAAGCAACACTTTAATCCATACTGTAGGACAATTTGCTGTAGTGAACTTGGAGCTTTAAACCTAAGCTGCCTGCTGATTAATGCTGCTGACAGTGAAATGAGAACAGTCTATTCCCCATAGATTAAATACAGAGTTCAGTTGAGAAGTTCTTGTAGGTTACCCAAGAGCAATATGCTCCTGAGGAAGGCCAGAGGTTACAATAACCGAAATATGATAAATAGTGTAAATAATCTGCATCCCGGAAATCAATGTTAAAAAAGTTTTAATAGTGAGGTGCAATGAAAGAAAAGTTTTGAAATTCAATAAAGCGGAGCTAAAGAACTGACAATTAAAATAAGGGGCCAATGAACCATTTTATTAATCTGTTCCCGTTATATTTTTAGATGTTGAATGGTATCTAGGATTCATTGATTACTAAAAAAAAAAAAAAAAAAAAAAAAAAGAAGAAGAAAAAATTTTAAAAAAGAAGAAGAAAAAATTTCAAAGAAAAAAAAGAAGAAGAAGAAAAAAAAGAAGAAGAAGAAAAATCTTTAAAAAGAAGAAAATTCATCGAAATAATGAAGAAGAAGAAAAGAATAAAAAAAGAAAAAAATTTAAAAAGAAAAAAAAAAAGAAAAAAAGAAGAAAAAGAAGAAGAAGAAAAAGAAGAAGAAAAAAGAAGAAGAAGAAGAAGAAGAAGAAGAAGAAACATAAAGAAGAAGAAAAAAGAAGAAAAAAAAAAAAGAAGAGAAGAAGAAGAGAAGAAGAAGAAGAAAAAAGAAAAAAAGAAGAAAAAAGAAAAAAAAGAAAAAAAAAAAAAAAAAAATGAAGAAAAATGAAGAAAAGAAGAAAGAAGAATGACAGAGAAAAAAAAAAAAGAAAGAAAAAAAAAAAACAATTGACTTTTTTGAATATTTTTCATGTTAAACATTTTATGTATTTAATAACAGTGAAATGGAAATACCTCTCAAAAGAAAAAGATTAGCAACAGAATGTCAAAGACGGCGACAACAAACCATTATTTTAAGACCAAATTGAAAATGGCAATCACTTAAATTCATAAAGATATCTGAGTGCCCTCAACATAAGGAACCACAAATAAAAATGTAATCTAAAAAATGTAAGAATAAATTGTCTAAATGCAGATAAATATTTTATTTGTATAGATCAAATTCTCAATAAAAACATGTAATATTTATCATCCGGGTTCTGTATAAATATAACAAATTTCAAAATAGTGCCCAAAATGATATTTACAGTCCATGAAGAAAGGCAACTCAATTAACGGGTTTTATCATTGAAAATTAAATTTCTACTGTAATTTATATATATATATTGAAAATATATTCTTTATTTCTTCTCTGCAGCTACCTTCACTGAATTTTCAATACCTAAGGTTTAAAATTAATTGTCACGTTATTGTTTTACAGACATCTCGTTGAATCGGGATTTAGCTGGGTTTCTCAACTGTTATCAAAAGTATGCAACAGACTTGACATTGTGAAAAGAGGTGATCTTCCAAAGTATCATCAACATTGATGGAACCAGATATAAAATGTACATGTTTGAGCAGCATCAATCACAGGGATCTCATTGAATAAACATGCCTTTTTTTTTTTTTTTTTTTTCGTTTCCTCAACACTCCTCCCCTTCTATTGGACATGAGTAGAGGCTTACACCTTGTTTCTTGTCTAGGATGGGGTTCCCGTACTGTCTTCTCTCTCCGGCCTCTGTATTAGTGCAGGTCTGTTTCTCCCGTGATGTGTGTGCAGTCTGTGGCAACATCTCTTCATTCTGAGGGTACACGGCTGACAGTTCTCTGGTTGCTGTTTCCGACTGGTAGTTAGGAGCCCTAACTCTTGCGTAGCGTCTTGAGCGGCTGCTCTGATCAACAGTTGTATAATACCGGGGTGTTTGTAGTGCCATGTCGCGCGTGGAAAGGTGTCCCTGCAGTCACCTCCGGTGGGCAGCCCTGAGGCCACATAATGATGCGGATTTTGCCAACTCCTCTCTGCCCGCGTCACGGTCGAAACTGTCTGTTTTCTTTTACCTCAGGCCTTCTCATCTTTGCAAATAAATCCAACATGAGTTACAAAACCCGAAAATTTACCCTAAACCAGCATCTCAGAAACCACCTAAACCCCTCAACATTTCATTCTCCAACATCCGGGGCATTAGAACAAACTTCTACAGTCTGGAATCTTTCCTCACTGCAAACGGCCCGGATGTACTGGCTCTCTGCGAGACAAACCTTGTCTCATCTATCCCCCTCTTCTGATCTCTCGATCCCCGGCTATCTTCCTCTCCTCAGAAAAGACTCTCTAACCCACATGCACGGTCTTGGTGTCTACGTCAAGGAACATCTCCCCTGGCCAGAGAGTTCTCTCTTGAATCGCCTGACCAGTCATACATGTGTCTCCGTCTCTCTCTCCTCAATGCGGTAAGCTATCTCTTCTTCCTTTACCGCTCTCCATCCTCTCAAGACTGTGAGATACTTGATAGCATTTCAGACAACATAGACAAGGCTCTCTCCCTCCACCCGTTTGCTCACATTTTTTGTGTTTGGAGACTTTAACGCCCATCACACTCTGTGGCTTAAGAATGCTACTACTGACCATGCAGGCATTCAAACGCTTAATTTTTCAATCTCCCATTCCCTCACACAGATAGTTAACTTCCCCACTCGTTTTGCCTTCAACCGGGAAGGTAAAGCCTCTCTACTCGACCTGTGCTTTACCTCCATCCCCGAATCCTGCAGCGCCTCGCAACTATGCCCACTTGGTAACTCTGACCATGCAGTAGTATCGGTTAACATCTCCTTTAACTCCACCCCCTATAAAGAACCTCCTACCACTAGAACTTCGTTCTATTATCAACGAGCTGACTGGGACGCGTTCCGTGATTTCCTCCGCGATGTCCCCTGGGATGGAGTCTTTAAGCTCCCCGTCCAAGAATGTGCTTCTGAGGTCTCTTCCTGGGTTAAAGCTGGAATCGACGCTTTCATCCCATCAAGGAAATATAGGGTTAAGTCGCGCTCCTGCCCCTGGTTTTCGGCTGCTTGCTCAGCCGCCATCGCCCATAGGAACCACTTTCCACCTATACCGTAGCGACATGTCTGACTGCAATAGACGTCTCTTTGCCGCCGCCCGTAACGATTGTAAGCGTGTCCTAAATGATGCTAAGTCACTATTTGCGGCTCGAATGAAGGAACGTATTGCATCTCGCAAATTTGGCTCCAAAGATTATTGGCGTCTCTGCAAGAGTGTATTGAATAATTGCAAACCCTCTATACCTCCTTTGTTCAACCAGTTCGAAGTCTTGACCTCCTCTACCGACAAGGCTGAATGCTTTGCTCGGAAATTTTCATCCAACTCGACGCTCGACTCTTCTGGTGTACCCATACCCGACTTTCCTCTTAGAACTGAGGCCATATTGAGTGGGTTAAACATAACCCCAACCTTGGTACTGGGCATTATCTCCAATTTAGATCCCAACAAGGCTAGTGGTGGAGATGGGATACCAGCCATTGTCTTAAAGAAATGCGCGCCTGAACTGGCGCCCGCCCTTTCTAAACTATACAACTACTGCCTCAAGGAATCTTGTTTTCCTGACTGCTGGAAGTCCTCTTCGATTGTTCCTGTCTTCAAGAACTCCGGCGACCCCTCTGACCCTTCCAACTACCGTCCTATCAGTCTCCTTCCCCTCTTCGGCAAAATCTTCGAAGCTCTAATCAATACCGGGGTGGTTAACCACCTCACATCCAATAATCTGCTCTCAGACAAGCAATATGGTTTCCGCTTTGCCAGATCTACAGCCGATGTGCTCACAGCCATCACGGAAACAGTCTACCGAACTCTCCAAAATAACGGGGAAGCCCGAGCCGTGGCACTAGATATCTCCAAAGCATTTGATAGGGTTTGGCATGCCGGCCTTCTTCGCAAGATCCAGGGTTATGGCATTACGGGTCAATTATATAACCTAATACAATCATTCCTGTCAAACCGTGAATTGAAGGTCGTTCTCAACGGATTCTCCTCCAGTTCCTATCCCACGAACGCAGGTGTTCCTCAAGGCTCCATCCTAGGCCCCACTCTATTCCTTATCTATATAAATGACCTTCCTGACGCCATAAATTCCCAAGTTGGCATCTACGCGGATGACACCACAATTTATTCCTGCCTCAAAAACAAATCCAGTCTCGCTGACAAAACTCACCTTGCCGTGCGTCTCTCGAAAAGGACCTCCAATCGATTGTGAACTGGGGCATGAATTGGCTGGTCAACTTCAACGCTTCAAAAGACAAAACTGCTCTCTATTAATCACCACAGAGAGCCTTCCCTTCCCTCCATTAGAATGTCTGACGCTCAACTTCTCGAGAGCAACTCTCTGCGGCTTCTCGGTCTCACGTTGATTGCTGACCTGAGATGGAATAAATACATCGAGTCAATTGCCTCGTCCACTGCGAGGAAAGTTGGCTCCCTGAGCCGCGCTAGGAAATTTTTCTCCCCTGAGTCGATCCTCCAGATATACAAATCCACAATTCGCCCTTGCATGGAGTATTGCTGCCATATATGGTCTGGCGCCCCTTCTGTTTGCCTCGGGGTTCTTGATAGGCTCCAGAGGCGGATATGCAATATGGTTGGCTCTGCCCTGGCGTCTCGTCTACAGTCACTTTCTCACAGACGCGCCGTCGCCTCCCTCTGTCTGTTCTACAAATACTTTCATGGAAATTGCTCCGAGGAGCTGCAATCGCTGGTACCCAGACGTCATGAGTTCAAGCGCCCTACGAGGCTGGCATCCCGCTCTCACCCCTTCACTGTCGAAACCTAAATGTAGCCGTCTCTTCTACTCTAATAGCTTCATGTCTCGCACCTCTCGCCTGTGGAACTCCCTTCCCTTCTCCTGTTTCCCTGAGAGTTATAATCTCCAGCTATTCAAGTGTAATGTCAATCGACATCTCCAGTTGCCTTAATCTATCTACCCCTCATCCTTTCTTCTATCACTCCTATCTGATCTTCCTAAATTTTCTGTAACCCCTTGCGTCCTAGTGGCTTCCCGCCTTGCTTGGGGTGAAATGCTTAAAAAAAAAAAAAAAAATAAAATAAATTGGTTTATTAAAAAACAGACATTTAGAAAAAAAAATTGCCTGAAAGAAAATTTTTATTTTAAGCTAATGGAAGAAAATATTGTAATATAGATAGATATGATAATATTAAAATTAATATTTACTTAGATAGATTAACTATAGAATAAATTTATTTGAATTAAATTATTTTTTCATTTAAAAAATAAAAGTCTCAGATATATATTTATATTTGATTGTTAAAAAAATCAAAAATTTTATTATTAGTGAAGAAAAAAGAATATTGTTGTCTTATGTCAAATAGAAATTTAATAGCTCCAAGTTTATAATAAAAAAAAAAAGAAAAAAAAAAAAAGAAAGAAAAGAGGGAAAAGGAAAGAAAAAAAAAGGTTTAGATAAAATAAAGAGAGAAAAAAAAAAAAAAAAAAGGAAAACAAGCATCCACTCAAAGAAAAATTTATGGAGATATCGTCGAAAAAAAAAGAGAATGAAAACCATTTGATGTAAAAAAGATAAAACATATCTGATTGATATAAATTATTAAATTGACTAATCAAGAAAGAAATTAGGGCTTATATTTATTAATTCTCAAAACTTTTCACAGCAATTAGAAGAAAAATTACAGTCGAACCGGCGTTTTGTAAAAATGAATGCAAGTTTCTTTAAACATGGTTTGATAACAAAAAAAAAAAAAAATTTTTTGTGCAAAAAAGATATTTTCAGAGTGGTTCCTTTTAAGTTTCAGTTTAACAAATGCCTTATATTCGTTCAAAAAAGAAAACAAATGTATATCTTCAGATGGAATGATAGAAAGTTTTATCTTAGAAATAGTTTTAAATAATTTATATGCCAAAAATGATTTCAAAATTTCATGTATTATGAATTACTTAAATCGAATTCGTTGGTATGAATCTTTCATGTAAATAATTTTGAAACGGCGTGAATCCGATTTATCATTGTTAAACAGTTCGTATAAATATTAAGAATATAGGAACGGATCAATTGTTGTTTTACCATCCAGTTATTCCTCCTGATAATGATTTTTCATTCCGAATTTGGGTATGACGATAAACTACATTTTTTTTTTTTTTTGCGATGTTAAAAATATTTCTTTAAAACGATAATTTATATGCTCCGCCTTTGGTGAAAAGAGAAACAAGCAAATTTCCTTCCAAAATGCAGCCCAACTTGAAAAAAAAAAAAAGTTAATAATTAACCTAGGTCCGCGTCCTGGGTAAAAAAAAAAAAAAAAAAATCCTACTTATTACGATAAACCATTCCAAGATGGCATGGTATCTGTGTTATTATGGTCCGTGTCTATAGACGATAAACTTTTTTTTCAATATATATATAAATATTATCCGCGTCCTGGGAAAAAAAAAAAAACAAAAATGGTTCCTAATGGATGAATATTAAAGTTGGAATCCGCCTCATTCAGGAAAGGCGAAAATCAAATCCATTACATTTTACTTTGTTAATAAACTATAATCCAATTCAAAGACGATAACCTCACATCCGCGTCCTGGGTAAGACGATAAAATACATCCGGGTCTGGGTATTATAAACTAAATATCCGCCTCATTTAAATCGCGAAAATGTTGAAATGTCCTGGGCAAGAAAAAAAAAAAACAAATCCAACTCATTTAAAAAAATTAATAACACATGAATTATATCCTTTGTAATGGGTAAACAATAAACATATAATCCGGGTCCTTGAAAGTATGACGATATTCAATACATCCGCCTATTGTAAAAAAGGAAATTCAAAAATTTACATCCGTGTCTTGGGTTATCACGATAAATAACATCCATTCCCATTTTACACAATGCCCTATATCCGCGTCCTTTGAAGACAATAAACTAATCCGGGTCCTGGGTATGACGATAAACTATTTCTCCCATGGAAATTGAGAAACTACATCCAAATGTCCTGAATTCGACTAAATCCAACTTTTAGAAGTTGATCCAACTCATGAATATATTATAAACTACATCCGCCTCCTTCAGGTAAGACGATAAACATACAACCGCCTTCCAAATTTACGTTTAAAAAAAAAAAAAAAAAAAACTTTTATCCGGAATAATTTTAGGACAAAGTTGACCTCTGCATTTAAACAGAAAATATAATCTCAAAAGTTCAACAATGATATTACCTGCTGGGGAAAATTGTTATTGTTTTAATTCATGAACTGATGTAAAAAAAGTTTTAATTCAGTTAAAAAATTTCAAAATCAAAACCAGCAAACCATACTTTTTTTAAAAAAAAATGATTAGTAATATTTATTTGTATTGTCCATTTATATTTATTTTTACCATATAAGTTATCAATATAATTCCAGAAGAAAAAATATTACCAGTGGGTAATGATCTTGTCAATTTATAAAAACCATTGAAAATAATTGACAAAAAAAACCAAATCAAACAAACCAATCATCGATTTTTACTGGATATATATAAAATAATTGATAGATATAAATGTTATATATTAAACATTAAATATTTGATCCGCATATTTATAAATTTGAATATATAAAAAAAATTTTTTCGTCGGACTAGATATGCCGTTGTACTAAAACCAACTTTTAAAGTGAAAATCTGTCTCTTGTTTTTTAAAAAAACCCCCATTATTTTTTAGAAAAAACATTTTATGTTCAGATACAAAATTGAACAGACATGAAGTTTCAAGAATCACTATTAAGAAAAAGAAGGATTTTGAACAAAAATTCCCCAGTTTAAACAAATTCAGTCTAAGTCATATGTATATGAAATTCAAATATATAATGTATATATATATATATAATATAATATATATATATTATATTTATACATATATATATATTATATATACATATATTTATGTATTTATATATATGGTTAAATATAATTATATTTATAATATATATAAAAATTAAATTTACAAGGAGCACTGTTTTGTATTCATTAAAACATTTTAAGAACACTGTTTTTATATCTTAATATTCTTTTTTTATAGTAAAAAAAAAAAAAATAAACAGTCCTGAGATAACATTTACCGGCCTGAATGTCCGAGAAATTTTTTTAGAAAATATTCGTTCTTTGAAATTGAACAGCCCTATTTCACACGGAACCGTCATTTTATATAGACGTAATTTTCAATCATTTTAAAGAATCGTTTTTTGAAGGGCGAATTGAAGTTTATAAGAAGTAAAAAGACACTAAGGTAATTATGTTTCTTTTTTTATATATTTTCCCAAAAATACACCATATGTCGTCTTTGGATAAGTTGTCCTTCTGAATTATTCAGCTAGAAAGAGAAAAGGCTATAAAACCATTTCTGTCCCTACTATTTTTGATGAGAGCAAAGATGAGGAGAAAAAAAAAGGATTCAGGCCATCCCAATGGTATCGTATTTTTGTCATACATCTAAGTTCCATCTTCATAGTGGATTCAACCTATTTTTTAATTCAAATCTGCAAAATGGATAAAGAAGTCAAAACATCCAACGATCATTTTTATTTTAACTTAGATATATATATATATATATTATAAAAGATCCAATTTATTCATAAAATTCTTCGGCAGGTGATGTTTTGAATTTCAAAATTATAGTGAAAAAGTTATGTCTGGTAATTTTTTTCGTTAAATCGTATTCAAACTCACGGATATCTTTACGTGGATTGAACTTATAGATTAAGGATGAGATTTAATAAGTTTTATAAATGAACCTAAATTTATTTATTTTCATTTATATATATATATATATATATATATATATTTATATGAACATATTTTCCAAGATCATCTTCCGATGGTTCAAATAATTTAAAACTATATGTTGTTCATTAATTTCAAATATTTTTACAAAAGTTAAGCTTTGATTATCCACTTTTAATTTTTTTTTTATATATTAAATATAAAATTTTTTACAATGTGCTGAGCATTCATTAGAACGGGAAAAAATGATCCATTAAAGAACAGTTTTTTGAACGTAATGCAGCGGTTGACCAACGTTAAAACCTAAGAGAAAAAATATTCCATAAAATAAAATCCATTGTTTTAATATAATAGTCCATACAGTTATTTATTTAATTAAAATATATTTTCAAATTTTTATATTTTCCATATTTTAAATATAATTTTCAATATAATAAGTAACGTTAAAAAATATATATATATATATATTTTGAAAAAAAGCTAATTTTCATAAATTTGATTTAGAACATTATTTATAAAGTATAAAATTAAAAATAATAAAAAAAAAAAAATTCCAACTGACGATTCCTTAAAATTAACCTATTGTTAAATAAATTGAAAATTCACTGAAAACTCAATCAACTCCATATACCGGATGTCTGGATTTCTAAAATGTCGCAAATATAGACATGTATTAAAATCCACTTTTTTTAGATTTATTTATTTTCATTAATATGATATATTTATCCCATTTTTTGATTGGTTAATTTTTTGTCTTAATAAGTGTTTTTTAATTTTGGAATCTTGTTTAGAAGCATATGAAAGATTTTTGTTTTTTAACTCCCAAATGAACTACTATATATATATATATTTATATATATTCCCCAAGGTGTGGTATATTTTTTGGGATAAATTATTTAACATCCCCTGATGAGAAACAATTTTAAGTTCCTGAAACACATAAAGTTTTAAACAAACTGTAGCCTGTAAGTGTAAGTATATATATTTATATATATATATATATATATATATATATAAAATATAGTCTTAAGATGTGCTATATTTATGGAATAAAGTGCTCAATATCAGAGATAGAGCACGTGTGAATATAAAAGTGAACATAGAAGCCAACACTTAGAGGCAACAGTCTGTTTCATGCTAGATGCAATCGTTTGGCCACAAGTGCTCTGACGATTGCATCTAGCATGAAACAGATTGTCGCCTAAGTATTGACTTCTATGTTCACTTTTATATATATATATATATAAAAAGAAATGGACAAGGTCCGACAATTTATTTATTTGGACAAAAAAAAAAAAAAAAACAAAAAACAACCCCCCCCCAAAAAAAAACAAAAACAAAAAACAACATGGACAGACCAGATGTGACAGCAATACAATTTTCAATGCATGGATGAATAGCAGATTTAACAATTGACTCGATATAACTGTTCCAATTCATAACAGGCAAAAATCTTAGACCGAGGAGTCACTCCCCAGGAGGTTAGCATCAGCCATGCTGATGAAGGTAAAATATTCTTTAAGACTTTAATCTAAATGTAAATAATGATAACTCATACCAGAAATTTAGATTAAAATTGTTCAGAGATCAACAGAGTTTGTGTCTGTGTTCATTTGTCTGGACAGACATTCTTCAATTACTGTTGAATGATAGTGACATATGTGGTGAGAAGAATAAAGCACAGGGAGAAGTGGTTTCATGCTTTCCTCTCCCAATGGTCTATTCCGTGCACAAGAAACTAAACATTGTACTAGATAATTTCCCCAGAACTTACTTGAAATCCCAAAAGTGCTGTCATAACGACGACCTTCGACTTCATACCAGCAGCGAAGTAGCCCTTTCTCCAGAAATATATTGCAGGCAGGATAAAAGCAACACCTGTTAAACGACCCCACATACGATGTGCGTACTCCATGTAGTAAATGAACTTGAAATCATTTAGTGTCATCTCTCTTTCGGTGATTACACTTGAGGGAAGAAAGAGGAAAAGGAAAAAAAAAAAAAAAAATTACAGCAACAGTAAATGCTAAGAGTTTGCAAATATTGTGACCCCCCCCTTTAAAAAAAAAAAAAAAAAAAAAAAAACATTATTCGGACTATTGTCCTCATCTTTGTCGCCATATTTATTACAACGTTTCGGGAGTTGTATGCTCTGGTCTTCTTCAGGTGGTTGGAATGTTGAACTGAACCCAAGGTAGACTGTTCGATGTGTCATATTTAATGGATGTCGGTTATCTCCTGTTAATTTCCCCCTGAAAGTTCTCCACTGCCTTAACCGGGTATTGAACTCACACTCTTTGGGTCCTGTCACTGGATCTAACCAACGCCATTATCCACTGTGCCATGAGGACATCTGGGTATGAATTTCTGGGTATTATAAACCTAATGTCCTCAGTAACCATTATTTACCAGTGCTCATATTGCAATTTTTTGCTGTTATCATTACACGTTTTTACCAGAGCTCATATTGCAATTTTTTTTGTTGTTATTATTGCTTTTATCTGGCACTCCTTATTACTGGTTCCCATATTGTATTAATTTCTATGCTTGGTTGGCTCAGGAGATTTTTGTGGCCTAGCATATGTGCTGATTCCTTAAGTTCCAATCATCTGTACAATGGCCGAAACGTTGTAATAAATAAGGTTTTTTTTTTTTTTTTTAGAAATTTATTTTTTAAATATTCTCTAGATCACAAAGACAAAAAAAAAAATGGTTAAATTTTAAGGGATTCAGCTTTTCATGCAATTTCATTGATCTCTTTACACAAGTCAAAAAAAAAATAATAAAGTTAAGAGAAGCTATTATTAACAGGTATTTTTATATTTTCCTAGTTTTCTGATTGGTGTTTACAGCATTCAATATTTCCCCATAGCTGTAACCCTAACAGGGGTTACCAACTCAGGTCAGGGTGAACTTGGGAACGACAGCAAGAACTAGTTCCATGCTCCTCAAAAGCTCCAACCTCCCAATCAGGGCCCTTGCTGCCAGATGTAGTTTATCATCATCTTCAGAACTATTTTCATTTATTTTGTCATTCAAACTAAACTTGATTCAAGCTTAAATTTAATTCTTTTATTATTTTCGCCCCTTTTAGATTTAAATAAACCTGCTGATGAACAGGACTGTCTTCAGAGCTTTGATAGCTGTAAGACGTTTTCCTGGCTGTCTGAGGTACAGACATGTATTGAGAGGTACTACACTAGAAATAAAATCTAGTATGTTTAAACAAGAAAAAAAAGTTGACATTACCGCAAAGTGGTAATACTGAAATACAAAACATAATTAATAAAAACTCAGCTTAACCAGTTTATCAATTCTCTTTTATTGACATTCCATTCAGCAACCAAGACCTCTGATTGGGAGATTGGAGGTTTGAGGACTGCGGAACCACCTCTTCATTGTTGCTGTTCCTGGAGCCACCCTGATCTGGGGTGGTAGCACCTGTTAGGGTCTCGAACATGCAAGGATCAATACGTGTATACTGACCAATATTTGCAAGGGAAAGTTAGAAGATTAGCAGGTGTGCATTAATGCAATTGGTTTGGGAATAGCTGAAAACAATCATCAATGTACCTGGTTTTATAGCCAAAAACATCCTTGGTACTGGGAAAGGCTAACTTGGAATTCCATTGAAAGACGGAATCTATTTATATCAAGTCCTACCAGCCATCTTTCTGTTAGCAGAAAATGTGGTTGTTAAGATTAAATGCAATTAGCATTTTAGTTGCTGTACACGTTGCATTTCTCAGCCAAGCGCCAGAGGACAGATAAATCTGTTAAGCTGCAGTTTTGTTATGAGTCTATCAAATTTATGGAGACGCCATTTTTATGACAGCGTTTGGCGCCAAAGATATAAACAAGAGAATATAAGTGGCATGTAATCTTACAATTTGTATTCAGGAAACAATTTATATCTTTCAAATTCTTCAATCCATTCTTCTTGTGTTCGGGGAGGCTTCATATCTTTGAGTAATTTCCAATCAACCATCGAGAGACCAGACTCAGTTAATCTGAAAAAATGGAACAGTATCAAATACATGTACATAAACATGAGAGAAAATTGCAAATGTATGCACACATAAACAGACACTCACTTTTAAACCAGGGCTTCAAATTAATTTTAAGTTCATTTCTCACCACTATAACGTAATCACCCCTGTGCCCTTTCTACAAATATTTTCATGACAGTTGTTGTTCTCATGCACTTCTCGCTTGTGGAACTCTTCCAGATTCTTGCTTCCCAATC